TCTATTTCCTCTGTTGTCCTACAGAGGTAATCAGTTTCTTATTTCTTTGTGGATAATGCATGACATGTTAGGTTTCGTTCAAAAATACCCTATGTGCTGATCATATGGTGTATCTTATACTAAAACCTTAAGACTTGCTTACTTACTGGCATCAGTAGTACGACTAAATTCAAAATCTATTCTGGTATTCATATGTGACTCAAGGAACTTGAATTTCAAACTTAGTGGTCTATACTTCTCCTGAATCTTGTTTCGATTTTTCTTTTCCTTTTCTTCTGTTTTTATCTTCTTCTTTGGATGCTTTCTTTCATTCTTCTTTATAAGTAAAGTGTTTCGTACATTTTGAAAGCTTCAATTACCATGGTTTGTTTATATGGAAACTTACAGAGAAAGTACTACATTTTTAAAGTTTCAAATACCAGTTACAGTTTCCAGTTTCATTCATTTTCTGTTTTGCTAAAATGAACCAATGAACAAAAATTGGATCATACGTGCATATATTTGAATTCTCAGACTTTAAAATGAATCAATGCTTTATTTATGTGGCAATCTATACAATTGCAGATGTTTATGCGTCCATGGTGTTATGACAACATTTGTAATTTTCTGTTTCAGATTTTAATTTCTCTCTTTTCCAGGCATGGAGAGATACTGGAATCAGCACTCAGTATGCTGCCTAACCTTTTGTATACTGCATAATGCAACCAATATGGTGTTTTCGCGGTGCACGTTTTCAGCTATATATATGGTATATCATTTGTTGATGTTGAATTATTAATTCTTTTTATTTACCTTGAGTATCTTAGAGTACCCTTGAGTATCCATTTTCCTTCTTGTTTCTATAATTCAGGTCATGGACTCTTGCATGGTTGCATATGATCACACAGAACAGAGGCCTCTGTTCCTAAAGTTACAGGCTAACATTTCACCAACATTAGCAAGTCTTATTGGATAGCATGTCATTTACCTATGCTTATTGCAATGTTCAGGTAAAGAAATCTTCAGTTTAAGCTTTGTACCGCCATTTGAAAAGTTGAAGGTTATTTTGAACATTTCTTGCTAAGTTGGTCTTGGTTTTATATTGACCATGCATTGCAGAGTCGAGATTGAAAAAGAAACGCATGCACGCAATGTGCCTGTGGTCTACAACTTATTGTTTTGGACAAAATGGTAAGCTATGATCCCTTTAATTTGTTTTCTTGACACTCATCATCAAATCTGAGTTATATTCTTATGAGTTTTGCATCACATTGTCAATTTGTTTGTTGTGGTACAGTTTAATGAGGAGAAGTGCTTTAAATCAACTTCCAGAGGCGCAGAAGCACTTTTCATAGCTACTCAAGCCCTGCATCTTGTCTCCTGCAAGGATTAAAAGAAAGATAGTTTAAATTAATATCGAAGTGATAAGAGTCATTTTTGTTTAGATCTATGGATGCATTTATGGAGTTTTTTGTTACTCTAGTATGTCTCTACTTAGGGTTTAGATCTATGGATGGATGCATTTATCAGTAAAGACCGGAGTAGAAAATCAGTAGGTATTGCTTTAAAACATCCAAGATGAGTTACATGAAAGCAATACCTACCTATTCTATTATGTTTTTAGAACCAAGATGACATATAAAATAGAGTTGCTCATTTGTAATCTTCATGAGTTGCTTGGAAGAACCATGATTGCCACTAACCTCAAACTCATAGTACTACCAACATTGTATTGCATCAATCTTTTCTTTCTGGTGAAAAGTAAAGCAATGGGAATCTCATCCAACAATAAAGTATAAAAATACTTTGTTAAAGTTAAAAGGATATTAATCAATAAAGAAATTATGGTGGGATTGCTTTACACTTTATTAAAGTATAAAATACTTAACCACTATCTCTTCCGAATA